TCTGGACAAGATAACACAACAAGAGTATATCAGCTTTATCAGGAGTACTTTGATTTACAATAAGGAACCAAAACATTAGAAGAGTACTATGTCTGCATGAAGAATATAAGGAATGRACTCAATGTCTATCATCCCCTCACTCCAGATATTAAAGTTCAGCAACAGCAAAGGGAACAACTAGATGTTACAAGATTTTTAGTGGGGCTGAAGTCGGAATATGAACCAGTTAGAGCCCAAATATTGGGGGGTTCTACTCTTCCTACACTTGAGGAAGTATTCTCAAGGCTTCGTAGAATTTCTTTGGGACAGACTGAGAACCCCACACAGTCTGATAGATCAGCTCTTGTGACAGATAGAGGAGGTGGACATAGTACAAGAGGGGGAGGTCATGCTCCCAGAGGGGGCCGTGGCAATTCCATGATTGCTCGGGGTGGCCGTGGCTCAGGGAGAGGCCGTGGCAGAGGAAAAAATAACTCTACAAGTGTACTCATTGTGGTAGGGAAGGACACACAGTGAATTTCTGTTATAACCTACATGGCCCTCCCTCTAAATGGGCTAATCATGCTGTAGCAGGCGAGGTTGATATCAGTGACAGTAAACTGGCAGACCGAACTCCTCCCACATCTACATCTACTTCTGRGAGGGAGATGGTGAGTGTACCGCGTGATGAGTATGAACGGTTCCTTCAAACTACTTCACAGCATACCACTGCCACACTTGCCCAATCAGGTATTGCTTGCATGTCATCTAAAACTCCTTCCTGGATTATTGACTCTGGAGCCTCAGATCDTATGACCGGGACTCCAGGTGTAGTCTCTTCTCTTTCTGAAACCTCCACATCACAAACTATTACACTTGCCAATGGGTCCTCATCTCCCATCTGTGGTGTTGATAATGTTGACATGGCTTCTGTCCCCTTATCATCTGTTTTCTACGTACCTAAGTTTCCATTCAATCTTATGTCTGTTAGTAAAATAACCAAAGCTCTTAACTATTTTGTTACCTTCTTTCCTTCCACTTGTGTTTTTCAGGATCTCAAGACGGGGAAGAAGATTGCTAGGGGGCAATGAAGCTGGTGGATTGTATTACCTTGATGGTGGTGGATCTTCAATTGCGCTTCAGACTTCCCTTACTCCTCTACAATGGCATTGCCGACTGGGACATCCATCTCTCAAGGTTCTCAAGAGGTTGGTTCCGTCATTGAGTCAGTTGTCAGTTTTACAATGTGTCATCTCAGTTTGGTAGGTGTGTCCTTCAGTCCAAGAGTTGAGAGTCGTATGTTGAGACATTTTTCTTTGGTTCATTCAGATGTTTGGGGTCCAATCAAAATAGAGTCTTATAATGGGTACAAGTATTTTGTCTCCTTTATTGATGATTGTTCATGAATGACGTGGATTTACTTAATGAAAGAAAGAAGTGAATTATTTTCCATTTTTCAAAAATTCCATGCTGAAATA